GTTTATTTATTTACTCACTCACTCACTTACTTGTTTATTTATTTACTCACTCACTATTTATTTATTTATTTATATTTATTTATGCATGCATGCTGTTGATAGGAACTGACAGCTTGCCCTAGTGTTGATGGTTTTTTTTATTTCAGGACATCCAGCACCTCTCCCCAGCAACAGATTTCTACAAGAAGTTGGCGCTGGACTGCTCCGGTCAGCAGGTGGCTGTTGACCTGTTTCTGCTCAGCGCTCAGTACTGTGACTTGGCGTCACTTGGTGAGTGTCACATGGACTGATGAGAGGGACAAAATAAAGGATAAACAGATGTTTTAGTCATAAAATGATTCATAAAATCTTCTTCATCTGAGGGTGGATGGGCGTGATTATTTTAAAGCTAACATACTGCAACAACCTATAGATATGGAAGTTTTCTGATGATTAACTCTTAGTTTAGAACCAAATCTACACTGAAACAGAAACAATATTTTTATATTTTACCTATTAGCTTTATTAGCTGCCAGTTTTTAAAACTCCTCAGTATGAAAATTTCAACAGAAACACTTTGATCTTATAGTTGATGATGTAATTTTATTCCATTGTCATCTCTTTTATCTCCCTCCTCCACTTCTTTCCCCTGCAGGCTGCATATCCAGATACTCTGCAGGGAGCGTTTATTACTACCCTTCCTACCATCACCAACATAACCCAGGTCAGGTGGAGCGCTTCCATAAGGATCTGAAGAGATATTTAACAAGAAAAATAGGCTTTGAGGCCGTCATGAGGATACGTTGTACCAAAGGTCGGTTTCATTTCAAGAAATCTCCTGTTTATTTTAATTATTTTACTCTCTCATAATGGTGGAAGTACTCAATCTGTTTTGTTGACAACATGAGACTTAATTAGAGAAATGTTTGTTTATAAAGTTGGAGATTAAATTCCCTAAAATCCATTTACACAACTGCTTGTTTTTGCGGCTGTTTTGCAGCTAAGTGTCTTTGTTTTGATTTGTTTGTTTCTCCAGGTTTGTCCATCCACACGTTCCACGGAAACTTCTTCGTGCGCTCCACAGATCTGCTGTCCCTCCCCAACGTCAACCCAGACGCTGGGTTTGCTGTTCAGATGTCCATCGAGGAAAACCTGGATGACATGCAGGTGGTTTCCTTCCAAGCTGCGCTGCTGTACACCTCAAGCAAAGGTAGGTGCAGTATCAGGACTTTGGCTTATATGTTGGAAATCAAAACCAGTCATTTGTGGGGTTTATTTGTTCAATAACACAAATTGTCTCACAGGTGAGAGGAGGATCCGTGTGCACACGATGTGCCTTCCTGTGGCCAACTCTCTGTCAGATATCTTCTCTGGAGCTGATGTTCAGGCCATCACTGGGCTGTTGGCTTGTATGGGTAGGAACTGCACCGAACTACGTAGAAAGGAAAACCCTCAATCCTTTCATTCGTTTCTAATAATAGAATAAAAGTTTATAACCCTTATAAATGTCTACTAAAAACAATAAAAGCTTGAAAGAGCTTTATGGTTCTTGTTTCTTCTCCTGACACGTGGACCCGTTCTTCTCTCTCCAGCTGTGGACCGCTCTGTTTCTGCCAGTCTGAGTGACGCCAGAGACGCCATGACCAACGCCGCCATCGACTCGCTGACTTCATACCGACAGTCTGTGTTGACCATCCAGCAGCCCGGCTTGTTGGCTCCGGCCTGCCTCAGACTCTTCCCGCTTTTCATCCTCGCCCTGCTCAAACAGGTTGCCTAATTTATCACTTTCAACACTTCTAGTTCTTATATTTTTTTATATCGTTCATATCTAAGAACGTATTTAAATATTAAGAACCTGCTTTTATTCTTTGTGCAGGGTTCATGCCGGGTCTTAAAAAGTCTGAAGTCTAAAATTTGAAAATCAAAATTTTAGGCCTAAAGTCTTAAACGCCCAGATTTTCACCAAAGGTCTTAAATTTAATTTTGTCAAGTCTTAATTTTTTCTACTTTTGATCATTCCTGAGAACCGTTGGCTGCATAAATAAAGTTAAGAGTCGTAATCAGAGGTTGACACGATCTGTCTTCATGATGCTAAGTTTGRTACTGGTCATGATTAAACTACAAATCCCATGATAACTGCAGGTAAAACTGTCACAGTTTACTTCCATGTTTTAGACCTCTTTGCTGCTACAACCCCTCACATACAGGTGACTTATTTACCTGCTCAAACAAAAAAAAAAAAAACAGAAGTTCAGTCATGTCCACTGCTTGTTGTTTAAACATGGGAAAGTGTGTTTTCAATCAGACTTGATATCAGTGATTTTTTCACTCGGTTGACAGCGGTTCAGCAGTCAGATATGACCGTTTTATTCAAATAATTTAGTGTTCTTGTATTAAAATTAAATATTCTTTAATAACTAAATTGATAGCAATAAAAGGTTTCTATTATAAAATTTCTGGGACCATTTGAATGTTTGTTAATGCGTCGATTTGGTCTTAAATGTCATTACTAATGGTCTTAAAAGGTCTTAAATTTAACTTACTGAAACCTGCATGAACCCTGTTTGTGTTTGGCTTTAAAACTTTATTGCTCTTGTCTGTGCTGCAGAAAGCCTTCAGGACTGGAACCAGCACCAGGCTGGATGACCGAGTGTTCGCCATGTATCAGCTGAAGTACCAGCCGCTGGTCTTTTCGATGCGGATGATCCATCCCGCTCTGTACCGGGTCGACGATCTGACCGATGAGGTGAGATCTGGGAGAGGCTACAGTTCGATTTGGAGTTTGTTTTTTTGTTTTTTGGAGTTTAATAYTAACAGTTTGTAACCTCGTTTTGGTCCTCAGGGAGCTTTAAACATCAACGAACGGACCATCCCTCAGCCCAGAGTTCTGCAGCTGTCTGTGGAGAAGCTCAGCAGGGACGGAGCTTTCCTCATGGACGCTGGAATCGTACGTTTATTTAAAAAACTTCTGTAATAAACTCAAAGCTGGTGTTAAATCTGTCCAGTTATGAATTCCTCTCACTGACTGAATTTCTTCCATCTTTAAATGGATTTAAATGTCTGTGCAGACAGATCTGTCGTGTAGTTTTGTGTTGATGAGGAAAGTCCAGCTTTGAAACGAGACGTTGTTTTGTTCCAACAGGTGATGTTTCTTTGGATCGGACGTAACTGTCACCCTAACTTCCTCACACAAGTCTTGGCAGTTCCAAACTATGCTGCCGTGCCTGATAATCTGGTAGGAAACAGCTTTGATCCCGTTCTGCCACCTTTAAATCATTTTAAGTTGCACACAGCACAACTTCAGGTGTTGATTGTTGCTTTCCTCTGACAGTATCTGCTCCCAGAGCTGGACACTGCCGAGTCTCAGAGAACCAGAGCTTTAATCGGCTGGCTCAGGGATCAGAGGCCGTTCTTCCCCTCTTTCCACGTCATCAGGTGGGAAACAAACCTGGGCGTTAGGGGCGGGGCATCTGTTTTTGTTATCTTTAGACTGTCAGGGCCTCAACCATCAGGTGGGACGGTGCATGTTTATCCTCTCACCGTCCGTTTAACCCAAACATGTCTGCATTTAGCATCATGCTAAGTCTGCACGCATTATTCAACCATCGGTCGTCATTGTAAGAGTGGCTAGATAAGTCGTCCCCGCTGTTGGTCAACAGAGACCGATGTCCTCACATGGCGGCCATCTTGGGACAGGGAGCTCGCCCACTTAATGTGTGTGGTGTATTTACTATTTAAATAACCATCACTTGCTCAATTTTGATCAGATTTTTAAACTGATTTTTTTGTTGTGAAGGTGAGACGTTGTTATAAAATGGCATACTTATAATGAACATTCAATTAATAATTACGTTTTTTTTATTATGTTGTTTTGATAGGTAAAGCAATATCAATATATACAATAATACATTTAGGTTACTTTTACAGTTATTTACTATGTATGTATACACACACACATACATACACACACTGTATTTACTCATTATAATACTAGAAATTTAACTCTAAAAATCATCCATAAAGTGGGGGGATAGTATTATACACGGGTTATTAATAATTAGATTTTTATGCTTTGTAAGCTCATAAAATGATCGTATTATATTCAAGATCGTATTATACATGAATAAATACAATAGAGAGATAGATATAGATATATATAGATGAATGGATAGAGATATATAGATATAGATGATATAGATAGATGGATACATACATACATAATCTTGCTCAATTTTCAACCGATTTTAAAACTTTTGTTTGGGCTAAATGTGACAGATGTTATAATACAGCATACTTAAACTGGACATTCACATGGAAATAACACTGTGCAGATACTGTAGATAAAGCAACTGCAATATACACAATAAGATTATATTTACATGTTTTTAGAGATGCATATTTATATACCAAAAAAATAACTGACATATTTTTGAATGCTGATAAATAGTATTGTAATAATATTTCATAATATATAGTAATAGTAGTTAATATGAACACCTTATAAAACACCTTTAAAGATAGAAATCACAAAGTCCTTCAACAAACATAAATAAAAAAATACACAAAGCAGATTTTTAAATTGCCTGTGACGTGCATATCCTTCAAAAATAAAAAACATTTTTATATTTTTGAGTATAAAACACAGTTTTACCTACTTTGTTTTGAACTTGTCTCAAAGTGAAACAGGAAGTGACATCAAAGAGGGACTCTTTAAGAAAAGGAACTCCCTGGTCTTGGTTTAATGAAATATTGATTGAACTCTGACTCTTCATCTCTGATAGTGACTCAAAATAAAATCAAAATATGAGGTTGATTCCTCTCTATTTTGTCGGTCATGTAGCATTCCCCTTTAACATCACTTCTGTTACTGTACATGCGAGTATCTCAACTGTTCATCTCAGCGGTTTGACACCTTTTTTTGCAATATGTTATCGATGTTATCTTCCCAAAAATACGTTCATGTTTATTAGAAAAATTTGATGTCACAGGCACTTTTAAGTGCTCATTTTCTTTTATCCTACTGAAAAACAGAACTCTCACAAGTCAATAAATGCAAATTAATACTTTTTCACAGGGAAAAAGGTTTATATGATGTGAAAATATAACATTATGAACTGAAAAATAACATGCTTGATCTATAAAGTCTATAAAAAATCATTGTTGCTTTTTCTAATCATTATCCTTATTTATTAAAATCTTTTTAAGGGACGAGAGCCAACTGAAACCCCAATTTATGCAGAACATGATTGAAGATCGGACCGAGTCGGCCCTGTCGTACTACGAGTTCCTTCTCCACATCCAGCAGCAAGTCTCCAAATAATCATTCAGCGATTGTGAGGAGAAAGGACAGACATTGTGTGTGCGTGTGTGTATATGTATTTGAGTGTGTGTTCAGAGCCCACTCTTGCTCCTTCTCCAGCCGCTCTTCTCCGTTTACTCCGAGATGAACCTGAGCGGATGTGAGGTGTCYGCCGAATCAAGTGGAGCGAGGCGTGGTGCGAGGACGTGACAAAAGACTCCATCCTGATGTGATCTGGCACCTTTCTAATGAGTGGTGGGAAAGCAAAGCAAGGAGCCCGTGATGATGATGATTATGTCCATGATTGATCGAATCAGTGTTTATTCTCACAGAACAATTCGGAGGTATCGTTTAGATACGGCGCAGGCCTGTATGTCCGTAAAGTTGAGGTTTGTTACAGGTCAGAGCTCAAAGACTCCTCTTTATTCGGGTTGTTGTCTGGAGGAATTGTGCACACCACATCTGAGCTTCACCACGCTAACGTACCTGAAGGACGGAGCATGTTTTCTTTATTTTATTTCAAAGTCATTATAATTGTTTGCTGAACAAACGTGTCGCCTCATGTCTTCGCTGCCTGGAGCGTTACTCGTCGGACGGATCAGTCACTTTTTCTCTGGACATTCAGAACACCTGATGACATCACTGTTCTGTTTATTTCTTTACTTTTTTCCCCCTCTGTTTAATTTATGAGACTCCCAATCTGATTAAATTCTATAATTGCCTTGGATGGGAACTCACTTTTTATTATTAATCCTCTGTTTAAATACTGACTATATATATGAAATATTTTAATATAATAGGATATGGGAAATTCTTTAACACAGGCCTAACAAAGCCATTTTGATCTTTTAATCATGCTTATTGATACTTGTATATTGAAAAGACTACATTATATAAAGGAGAAGAAATGCTGATGATTTTAGTATGAAGAAGAAGTTGAAATGACGCTAAGAAAATAAAACTCTTTGGGACTTTTTAAATGTAGTTTGTGTGTTGATCAGTGATCAATGGTTATTCTGTGAAGATAAATTCATTTTGGACCAAAAAATGTGACGTTTTGAGGTTTCATACAATTTGTAATCAATGATGTTATGTGACAAGAATGTAATTAGGAGCAAATGTGTTTTGGTCTTTATGAACAAGGTTGTTTTTCATAGAAATTAAAAATAAAATTAGTTTTGTTTTTGTAGAGAAAATTGTTGTTAGTCACATGCCATCTATTATAGAAACACTAGTTATAGGTCTGATGGCTTTAGGCTTGGAAACTAAGCATTTTAAAATTCTTTGCAAACGACAGCATAATGCCACATAACAGTCGACATTTTGTTGAAAAWGAAGCTAAAGAAACAATAGAGTAGCTAAAAGCATCAAAGGGTTAGCTAATGCCTACAGTCTAGTAAAAAGGGTAGCTAAATGCTCAAAGTATCAAAAGGCTGAAAAATCATTAAGCATAAATTGGTAGCTAAAATATAAGGTAGATTAAAATAAATATGTGTATAGGTCTAAACAAGCCTGCTTCAGAATACTGATTCAGAATTTCTGCAGTATTTTGCAAATAACAGTTATTAGTT